ACGATTTTCAGGTAATTAGAAAGTTGAATCTATGGAGGAGGTATCACTAAGGCATTCGTTAGTGTTGTTGTCAATGTAGCGTTCTAGCTTTTTACGGAGTCTTGTGCATCTGTTTTTGACTGTTTTATCGGTTATGTGGGAGTATACTAATAGTATCATTTCTATAAGTCCTTTAATGTCATCCGTATAATCTTTAATTATATTTGTGATGTCTTGTGTTCCATGACTGTTCTCGAGAAGGCTTTTAAACTGGTCACTATTCAAGGGAAGGGCAGGCATCTGGTTGTCTATGAATGTTTTGGCGGTTGCTAGAGCGTCTTGGGAGATATAGGATGACTGCATATCTGTTTTATGTTTCTTTGATTTAATATTGTTGGGAACTGCAAATGTAGGAGGGGTTGAATTTTCATGCGTAGGAGTTGTCGGTGAGATTGTTTCTGAGAAGTAGCGTTTTGGGGATGGGTTGTTGTGAGTAGCTATATATTTACTGCCTGTTGAAGTGTGTGGTATAACTCTATTTTGTTGATCCGGTTTGTTTTGTTGGGTGTAATTTTGTATTTCTGGTATCAGCTCTTGCGTTTTTCTGGTGGGGATTGGACTTTTGTCGATTACTGATTGGCTAGTATTTGGTAGATCTACATCTGCTTCACGCGGGTTAGGTATATGTTGAGATAGTGCTGTTTCTTGGGTCTCTGTTGTTATTATTTGTTGATTGCTTGTGTGGTGTGTGCTTGTTGATTTAGGTTCTTTGGTAGATTGGGTCTCATGTGGATTTGTTTGTCGTTGCTGGGAGGGTAGTGGACACTGGGAAGCTATATGACCTTGTTTGTTGCATTTGAAACACTTTTGACTATCTAGCGATAGAAAAATGCGGTAGGCTAGGTTTTCATGAGTTATTTCAATGGAGTCTGGGATATTTAGGGACTGTTGGTTGGGTTCTATATAAACTTGTCTTCGAAAGCTCAGAATATGACTGTACTCTGGAAGTGGAGCAGCTATTCTCAAGAATGAAATTGGCGATACGAGTTTCAGACCTAGTTGCAGTAGTTTTTCATTAAGAACTGAGTGAGGAACTGTAGGACTCACATTTGATATCACTAGACGGTCTGAAGGAGAAACTAATCTCTGTCCTCTCAAGATCTCACCATTTACCTCTATTTGTCCATGATTCTCTAAAAAGGTGTCTACTAACTGTTTAGTTGCTAAATATATACATATTCTGTTGTTGGAAATTCTGAAACAGAACAATATATTTTTCGGGTTGACGATTGGACCAAGCTTAAGTAGGTAGTCTTGTAGCTTAGCTCCATCAGAAGAATTAAATATAATCGCTTGATCCTTGTTTGGGTACTTGACTGTGTTTTGAGTAAGTACGTTTGAGTAGGACTGAGCTGTTGTGTTGCTTTCAGATGAGTTTTGGTTATTAACAGATGACATTATGGTATAGTGAAATAAACTCCAGGTAGATGCCGTATCATTTCTCGATACGGTCCTGCTTATCCGCAAATATTTGTTGTGTTTGGGATTACCTGTGCTAGCGCACGCCGGAGATATCGTAAGTAATTATTTCAGATTCTGATCTTATTTATCGCATAAACGTAGAGTATTTACTCACAATATGTTCTTAATGGCTCACACTTATGCACTGGTACTCTTGCAGGAATTATTGGTGATTTATTAACTAGTTTGTTAGTCAAAAATGTAGAGATTCACTCGGTATCAACCAATTCGATTTTGGTCAGGACCGAACTCCCGAGCATTAAGTTTGTTGCTCTTTTTATTTTCAGTGTCATTAATAGGGGTTTTCATTTACGAAAAATGTGTTTAACTTCAAATGAGCTTGAAGGTCACCACTAGATTCAAAACTTACAACTTTGTTACAAAATATTTTTCTTTATGAAACATATTTCTCGAGATATTTTATCCTTCGCCTACTCTCTGGACACCCTCAAATAATAATTGTTTATAGGTATAAAAATTATGATCATTGTTTTAGGCAAAGACATGCTTCACATAATTCTAGCATTTTTTTCGGTAGAAATTTTTGCTTCTGTCACTTCGTTGAAACAGTTCAAAGTAGTTTTGTGACTTTTACGTTACGCGGTAATGCTGCATTACCCACCTTATGACTTGAGGTCACAGAAATGTTGAAGTCATGGTGATTTTATTTAAGAAAATGTCATTTTTATTCACATTATCTATTATTTTCCAGCAAAATGAAAATTCCGAAGGCATCTGACGTGAATAAAATCGTAAATGGTATTGATTCGGGATCCGGTATCAGCTTTAAAGAGGCACTAGGGCTGTGTGGGCCCCCGATGCATATGAAAGGTGCTTTTAGTAACAAGAAGAGGAGCCTCGAAAAATCTGGGAATACGAAGGAACAAGGCGGCTCTTCGAGACCGACTAAACGGGAGAGTAGCGAGGAAAGAGAACCATTGCCCTTGAAGAGCGATTTCAATGAGACTTTCGAAGAAGTAATGGTAAGTTCTCAACATATGTTCAGAATGTTACTAAATGTTTCCAGGAAAAATGGAGAGCAGAAACAGCAATTAAAATATGGAAAAACATTCATATAGACATAGGTCCGGAAATGTTTACTTTCCATTATAAGTGGTGTGCAAACTATCTCAATGTCGGACAAGTTTTGAACACTTCCATATCCTGAAAACGGTGAATTTCCAGACATACATATGTGTATGTGTAATTGAACTTTTTTAAAATGTTTACGTCAATAAATATTCCAAAACAGCCGCAGCTGGAACCCTTGAATAACATGTCTATTCTACTACCAGGGATAACAGGAAACTGCAGGCCTTTTGGTTCACAACTGATCAGCCAACAAAAACGTTTCGAAAGAATGACTGATGATGAGGCACTTACTAGGGTGATGACAAACAAAAATTATAGGTAAGATTCATCTTTTTCTTGCATAAATAATCTATAAAATCGTACAGAGTGCTCTGAAAGATGGGACTTTCCATTCTACGCCAAAATTACCGTTCATTGGTAAAAAAATTTCAAGCACCGCAGAGATGTTGCGAAGTACGAGTATTTTGCTGCTTTTTCCATTTCGGTACCCGAGTATATAGGTATACTTCATGCTGTATTGGGCTTCTTACAGGTTTTGTGAATCATTTTTGTTATCACAAAGCTATAAATGATACCTTTCGCGGGTGACTTATTGAACTTTAGAAAGTTGTTCTCAAAACCTTTTAGCTGTTCCCTAGCTGATTAGCTTTTAGCGACACATGCGTGGGATTATCCGATTTAGTTTGGTATCAAAATATACTTATCAGATTGAAATTTTCTAACTTCATTACCCTGCGAATCCCAGCTTAATATTATGGAATACATGAAAGGTTGCTCTTTTTCATCAGAACTGTGCACTGTGTTAAGGGAATCCCCAAACACATATGTAAATGTTTTGAAAATATAGATAGTATTTTTGAAGTATATTTTTTTAGGACCAAAGTATATTCTGGAAATAAAATGTCTGGGAAAGTGGATACTCTATACGGTCTCTGTGCGACGATATTATAAGATAATATTGATGGTATGTATTTGCAATACATATTCTTAATAAGAAAATACTTTGTTTAGTCCAGCCGTGTGGCCTGACGTGATGCCTTAATGGCATCCTCAATATTCTGTGGCATAAGATCGTTATTTCTCACATAAAAACGTTGTCTTGCAGCATTGGGGTACACTGGAGGTGTTGCTTACTTATTTCTGAAACCGGTGTTGGAAAAAGCAGCTCCCGATCAATTGCTAAATGTGGAGTATCATAATCCATACTTAATCGAGGAAACTGATGAATTGTGGCAGTTGTATTGCGAGAAGGAATTTCGTACTAAGAAAAGGGAAGAGCTGGAATCTTGGAGAGAAATGTACATGAGGTGAGTTTCATTTCAATAAATAGTTTACATAGAAATATAACTTCAAATTTGATGGTTACTTGATGACTCTCTGGAGCTGCAGTGCTTCCTTTTAACTCTTCGTCCGTAAATAAGTGATCACTTGAGTAGCCGCAGCCAGTGGCGCTATTTTATAATGAAAATAATAGTATTAATCTAAATTAAAATGTAGATCATACTACAGCTCTTTAATACATTTTTTGAAATGTGTTGAGAATTTGTCATTTATATCATGTTAGTCTAAACCCGTGGCTCCGTTCGCGTGGAAGTGGTGTGAAGTATATGTCATTTGTTTTGCATTAACGTGAAGGAGATTAGTTTCGGAGACAAAAAAGGTAATATCCAAAGTTATGAAGTAAGTTAATAAGTTTACTTTGAAGCCTAACTGATCTTAAAATGGCCTTGGAGGTTATGGTCAGGTTCATTGGCAGTGATATACTTGAAGTTAAATTATCCGAAATTTGCAATTCAGGAATTGAAAATGGATGTTTGTGATTTTAAGTGCTTCGAAGAGAGAGCTGCTAGGTTGAAGGCGACTACTGCTAACATAAGACAAGCTCAAGAAAGATTAGTACCAGTTAGAACTACAAAGCTTGCTTATATTGACAGCGTTGTCAAGCCGCCTAGGAATATAGCCAGAAAGCAGGTTCGTGTAATACTGTTATAACTTTGTAGAGAAAAAAATTTTATTCGCATATTCTTTCACCATCCAATAAAATAAAGTACATATACATACAGATAAACTCAGAGGTTTGTAAAAACGTTTACTTTTAGTACAATATTTTTGAGAAAGTCTATTAACTATTTTTGAACATCTTTCAATACTTACCTCAAATTTCTGAACTATAGACAACCGATAGTTTTTAATAAAAATAAAATGGAGTTTTCTGCTGAAAAGGAACTCAGCTGAAAGTAATACATACAATTAGATAAGTAATATAAAAATAGTTTTAATTATTCAAAATTTAATTCTCAAGTCCCGTTTATAGATTGATGTTTCTTTGGATGTTGTTTCTTTGAAGGCTGAAGGCCCTATAAGACAATCTTGAACTTCATCGCAGTCCTTTAAACAAACATTACTTTCAGGCTAAGAACGGTATCGTACCCGAAAAGAAGATGGTAACACCTGCAGATCGATTAGCACAATTAGAGAAAACTGGCGAAACAGCGAAGGTTGCAATACCTGATTCTGGAACGAGAGTCGCAGAAAGATCCAGTAAGTAACCCTTTGATGATCATTAAAAAAAATCAAAACCTTGCATTGATCAAATTTCCACTCGCTACAACGATGGCCGGGTGATTATACAAGTTAGTCACAAAAATTGTATTCAACAGTACGCTCTTTATTTTGAAAATATGTTTATTCCTACAGGGTGAGTCATAGTTACGTGGAGGCCCAAACATACATTTTTTTAAACTAAAAGACCTACATTTTTTTTTTGTTGAAATATCAGGCCATCTATCAAAAAAAACACTCAACTTGGCAACCTGCACCTCCGCAACTGTTATAGCTAGAGAACTGGATTTTTCGTAAAAACAATTTTATGATCCTATATTTTCTCCCTATCTGCCTACTGCCTATATTGTACGTAGGGTTACCAGGTAACCTGTATTGTATTGGGAGTTCTGAATTTGAGGCAGGAATTTAGGCGTAGGACTTCTAGTAGCTTCACTTTCATAAAAAAATATTGAAATTACAAATTGCTCTTAACGTTCTTAATTCGGTTCGGCTAGATGAAAAAACTATTATTCCTTCAGGTTGCAACTTCTGATGTGACAGCTGAAATTTTCATCTTGATCGACCATATCAAAGCAGAGCTCCACATTAAAACTAAGGGTGCAAAAAAATGTATGAAAAATAAACAGCGGTCGGAAACTTTTAAGTCTGGTAAAAAAACCTCTGATCTTCTGTTGTATGCATTGTCAAAAAATAACTCCTTTTGTATATGATACCACCAAGCACTAAAATAATACAATGCAGATATTACTGCACCATATGATTACTGATGAAAAATGTACTTCCCTTGGAAATCGACATTCTGCAATTTTCAAATTTAAACCTGGCAACCCTAAATGTGTGTGAATTGTTTACCAATAACTCTGTTCTTAGACGCCGACCGTATTCCTTCATGTTGGAGTATGGAAGCATGAGCATCATTAAGAGATGGTTAATCAGAGCCAAAGAGAGGTCAAAAAAATCAGGAGCTCCATTTGTAGTTATAAAGAGTTACATACATTTTAGATTATAAAAATATATGTGCATACTCATGTTTATAAATATTTACACCTGGCCTTTTTATTCCAATATCTGTAATTAGACAGCTCTTGAAGCTAACTTAAAAAATGTTTAGTTATTACATTGAAAGAATCTCATTAACTTTTAAATCTAAAATGCATTATTAATTAAACTACTGCTTTGATGCCGCCTTCAGGAACGTCTACAGGAAAATGAAGGTAAGAAAATACCAATACAGGTGGGTTGAGAGCCGGCTTTAGGCCCGTATCGTCAGTCGTCCCTACAATGGTAGGGCGCCTTTATGGCCTCCTTGATTGTTATAGTTTTCTACTTCTCCGTGTCAGCGCTCTATTTTGAGGTTGTGTCACAAACATCTATTTGCATCAAATTGTGCTTGCTTCTGAGTTGTATCATGTTTTATCAGCCTGAAATTTCCTACAATTTAAAAAGAAAACATATGTTCACAATAGGAGAGCGCTGACGCTGACACGGGACAAGTGTAATCTAGAAATTTTTGAAGAAGAGAAAGGAGTACAATCAAGGAGGCCATAAACGCTCCCTACAATTGTAGGGACGACTGACGATACGGGCCGAGATACCAACTGCGTCGACCTTCGAATTTTGGTCTGAAAATTGTTTATTTTGTGGAAAAGGCATCCTATGGAATGTTTCCCCCGTGGCAAAATCACTACTTGCAGAGTGCTTGTGATTTCTTTAAACATACTTTTCGATTGATAAAGCTAGCCTTTAAAATCACTGACAATTTTCAAGAGAGCGCGAGGATTTATCATCTATCAGGTCGCGTATTCATGAAGGTTGACAAGTTGTATAATTATTTTGTAAACACGTAGTCAATTACGTATGAAGCAGATCTGTTGGCTGATTTCTAGTAGGTCCGCATTTCAGGCGGCTCATTGGAGTTCCGCTTCGCCGGCAGCAATCGAAATCTTTCTAAATTAAATAATGTAATATGTATGCTTTTTACTTTTAATTTTTTTTTAAAATAAAATAAATACTTTTTGAATCATTTTTCATTCCCATAATGTGCATCTAACATTTCAAGAACATCAATAACATATCTGGGAAGTGTGAGGGAGCTCCTGCTAAAAATATGCCGAATTTAACCAGCATTTTATTTAATATATTTGACAAGTGGATCTTCTCTGTTGACTGGTCATTTGAAATTATTTGGAACAGGGGCAACACCCTCCAATACTCCCCTACTGAGCGAGGCCGTTGCAAATGGTTGTACCGGAAGTTGTTGAATTCAGTATAGGTATAACTTCTGTCCGTCCAAGTGATTGTAAACGCGTTACGGAATACCTCAGTACTGATACGACTGCTCCTTGGTCTCGATGGTGTCGATATTGTGGAACAATCTACAAGAAGAAGCTTTTCCCAGCTGTACTAACCTTAGGCAGTTCAAAAATCGGATTAGCAAAATGTTTTTGTCATTCTCATAGTAGCCGCCGTGCCTGTGTGGATAGTTCGGCGTAAAGAAATTCCATGAAACAGGGGGTTATTAAAATGTATCATGTATGTGAAAAGATTGATCAAGCAGCTGGCCGGATAAAAGGAATTATGGAGAAAACTATAAAATAGTTCACACAAAACTACAGCTTAAAAATAAGAAAACAACAGCATTAATAGAATACATTTTATTTATTCTATAGAATTTCTCATAAGACTTCCTAATACATGATAAGCTCACATTATCCTTACCATCAATAAAATCGATCATTTAAATATCTGGGTATATATGTGGATAGTAAACTGCTGTTTCACGAGCAATATGTATACATTATTTCAAAAATATCAAAAAAGATAAATTACTTCTATAGAGTTTCCCATAATCTTAGCATGTATTCAAAAAATGTGTATAACACCATAATTCTTCCACATATTTTATATTGTTCAACTATTTTGTTCACAGCAAGTGAAAACATATTTTCAAAATTACAAATTCTACTACATAAAGCTATGGGAATCATTTTAAATAAAAACGAGTATGCTAGGATTTAGTCTATGTTAGAAGAACTACAGTGGTTGAATGTAAAACATTTCATATGCTATTTAGTTCTCATTTTAATATTCAAATTGAACAACCATGTATTACTACTACACTTAATAAACTTCACAAAATTAAATAGTTATCATAACTATGAAAATAGAGGCAGTATAGGTTTATATCTGGAAAACTGTAATAGTTGCATAACCAGCAAATCTGTATTTCAAAAGGTAGTATTTGAATCAAATAAATTGATTAACGGTATTAAACTTCTTCGAATTTAAAAATGTTTAAGGTGAAATTAAAGAATCAAGTTATGAATACTCAAAATATAGTATGTAATTTTAATAGACTAGAATGTAAAATTACAGAAAATGGGTTAAAAAAAGTGTGTAAACGGATAATTACACAAAATTGATATTGTAGCATTAATGCTAAATAAATCTGCAACAAACAAATAAAAATCATATTGTGGTTATAAAATACTTTGCATGGTGCAATGATGTAATGTTTTTTCTAACATAAATGTATGGATGCCAAATTATTAATTATGGGTTTTAGAAAGTGAGGTGTAGGCCAGGAAATATATGTAGTTTTTTCCATACAATTTGATGACAATAATGATAAGTTCAAATTGGCGTCATGATAGCGCTGGAGCATTTTCTGACATTTAAAAAAACGCGTTTGTAGGGATTTGAATTCATCACTTTTCTTTTATAAAACAGTAAACATGTTAGAAGAAAATTAAGGGTAAAGTTAAATGTAATGAGATTTTCGCTTAAAATGGCTAAACTAACAAGTGTTTAAGAGATTCTTATTCTTTTATGTAGAAAATAAAATGATTCTGCAAGTGTACGCACGTTGCGCACGTGTCAGTATACATCTAATATTTTCGGATATTTAATGATGTAAATGCAAGTCGCTCACTTCCACCAGTCTGTTTATTGGCCATTTTGTCACTGGACACAATTAGCAACTGTTGCAGCGATTTTAATGGAAAGGGAGTGATGCAATAAACTAGTATTATCTACTACATCTCGTCTTCCATTAGAATCGGTGAAATTACTCAGTGACAAAATCGCCAATCGGCAGACTGATGGGAGGGAGTGACTTGATCCTCATAATGAAAAAAAAATCACAAATTATCAAAAAATATTAATTTTCCATGCTTTTAAGTGGTAGTATTCTTAGTGATGGGTAATGATTATGCAGTTATTTTCACGTGAAATAATGCTGTATGCCGATTAAGAGGACCACGTACATATGTTGCACTATGTCGGGCGACTGCTTGATACGAATTTTGTATACTTTAAGAATCAATAAAATGTCGAAAAAACGTAAAAGATCTTTTTTTTTACCAAATTAATTATAAATAATTTCACCGATTCTAATGGAAGACGAGATGTAGTAGATAATACTAGTTTATTGCATCACTCCCTTTCCATTAAAATCGTTGCAACGGTTGCTGATTGTACCCAGTGACAAAATGGCCAATAAGCAGACTGGTGGACGTGAGCGACTTGCATTTACATCATGAAATATCCGAAAATATTAGATACATACTGACACGTGCGCAACGTGCGTACACTTGCAGAATCGTTTCATTTTCTACATATAAGAATAAGAATCTTTGAAACACTTGTTAGTTTAGCCATTATATATATCATTACATGTACCTTTACCCTTAATTTTCTTGTATCCTGTTGACCTATACGACAAGTTTTTATAAAAGCAAAATGATGGACAATTTAATTACCCCCAAAAATCGTTTCTATATTACCTTTTTAAATAGGATCGATTGTCTTCGATATTTTCAATTAAACACGTTTATCAAAATGACGGCAAATACTCCAGCCCTGTCATAATGCCAATTTCAACTTATCATTAGGAAGCAATAGTGTAACGATACCACCAAAAAGTTACCGTCGCCGAAACTGTAAAATTTCCTTATACATAATCTTCCTATTTATTGGCATAGACTGTCAAAACATTAACAACTTCATGTTCCCCAAAACAAAAAATGACTTTGCTGGGAAAACGTTTAGCAAATGTGATTACTAGATCATACACGATACCGTGTCATTGACTAGGCATTTTTAAATTTTGTAGACATGGTTTTTGAGCATCCTTTCTGACAAAAAAAGAGCGCTTATTGGAAATGATCTTATGTGAATGAATTTTGTATATAGTTAGAAGTAAGCAAGAATCCGCTAATAATGTCTTAGACTAGCTTAGTGTCACATACATTCTCGTACAGTTATCGTAGCGTGCTTCTGATGAGGTTCCTCATACCAAACTCGATGCGAAGTATTGCTAATGTTGGTAGAGGATAAGGTAAAGATGTCGCTCTTCTTCCCATCATACCCCACGAATGTTCATTTGACGAATGATTCCAAGAGATGATGTTAATTTGATAATGTAATATATCAGTTAAGAATGAAGTCAAATATATTGGATGGATGTGAAGTTGGCAGACAAAATGTTGCAGACAATTTGCCGAAGATACCCGAATGATTACTGGGGTCGACATCTTAAAACAGTCTCTGATTGAGAAAAATTCAGAGCTAAGGGCCTGCAGCAATAAATGCATATTAGCCATAAAGAAATATTCCATGGACGAGGATAAGCACACTCATAGGGAGAATCATTTTCCATCCCAACTAAATAATTCGAAAGGTTAAAACATATCCCAAAATATTTTTTCCAATCAAATCACTTATAGATTATTGTATATTATATGGTATTGAGGTAATTATTCAGCTAAAACGCATATATTGAGCAGATAAAAAACATAAATGACAGTTCATTTTCACCCTGAAATTTTCTGAATCGAGAATTCAAGTATCTTCAAGAAAGTATGGGTAAACCTAAATAATAATTATTATTACTGGGCCTTCCAAACGGTTAGTTATAATTATATTCTACATGCCTCAGGCTTGGTTAGTAATTGGTTACTTCTCAACTTAAGCACATAATGGCATTGTAATTGTTTAGAGATGGAAAATGTAAAACTTACCAATCCTTTGCTTGCGGTAGATATTTGTATTAGCGAAAA